TTGTCCCTCACGGCATTCTGCGACTCTGATTGGGCAAGCTGTCCGCTCACTCGTCGTTCAGTGACAGGATACTTTATAAAGCTTGGGGATTCACCGATTTCGTGGCGAACAAAGAAACAACATACTGTTTCCCGTTCATCGGCTGAAGCTGAATATCGTGCGATGGCTACTACTGTATGTGAACTCAAGTGGTTGCGGTCTCTTCTTTTGTCGTTTGGAATTACAGTGCGCCTTCCTATGAAGTTATTTTGTGATAGTCAGGCTGCGATTCACATAGCAGCAAACCCAGTATTCCATGAGCGCACTAAACACATCGAGATTGACTGTCATTTCGTTCGGGATGAGATTCAGCGTGGCATCCTTCGCACCATGCATATTACTTCGGCTGATCAACCTGCTGACATCCTGACTAAAGCATTGCCCACTGCGTCTTTCATGCATCTGTTGTCCAAGCTGGGCACTCGTAATCCACACGTACCCGCTTGAGGGGGGGTGTTACGGAACGAGAATTCGTTCCTTGGCTTGCACGCACACTGGAAGGCCGAATCCTTTGAGGATTTGGTTTAAGTGATTTCCTAGTTTATTTTGGTCTTGTACTCTGTGTTTCCTAGTTTACTGGTTTCCTTCTAGGATTTGGATTCTTGGCTTATAAATAGGGTAGGAGTTTTCTGTATTCAACACAACCCTTGGAGAAATAAACAAAATGCTTCACAATACTTTTATCAGATGCTTATAAATTTGTGACCTGTTAAACATTTTGTGTACAATGACATAATTAAATACTATCTGCAGGCAAGTGGGCATTTATTGCTGGCGTAGCTGATGATAATGGCTATGGATGGGCAATAGCAAAGTCTCTTGCAGCTGCAGGTGCTGAAATTCTCGTTGGTACATGGGTTCCAGTATGTATTTATGCAACTTTATAAATGTTATTAAGTTGAAGTTATTCTCTGGCTGGAAATATTTCTTATAATTTCTCTCTTTATTTAGGCTCTAAATATTTTTGAGAGCAGTCTGCGACGCGGAAAATTTGATGAATCAAGAGTGTAAGGGCAGAATTGTTATTTACCTTTAGTGTTGTTATTTTTTAGATGCTGATAACAATGTATATATACCACTGTCCAGCTTGCCAGATAGCTCATTGATGGAAATAAAAAAAGTATACCCACTAGATGCTGTTTATGACAACCCTGATGATGTTCCTGAAGATGTAAAATGCCTCATCTTCTGTTTTTTACTAAACAATTAATCAGGATGTTGAAACATCTCAACTTAAACATATTTGTGGCATCAGGTCAAATCCAACAAGCGTTATGCAGGGTCGGCAAATTGGACTGTTAAGGTATCATATTTATGGATTTTTTTACAATTGTGTCCCTGATACACAATACATGCTTCGATCGATTTGCATTTTGGATGGAAAGTAGTATTTATTCACTAAGAAAGATGGTACAAGTAGTACGTGTTCTGGAGTTTGGTACAATGACGCATATAAACATTGAACTGTATAAAGAATTTAAAACTACAATATATTCAATTTCGATATAAAAAAGTCAATAATTGGTTATTACACAGGCATTTTGGTCCTAATACATTCCCTTTTTGCCTGTCCCATGGGAAGATTTACCCCTCACTGACACATGGTTTTATTTATTTATTCAGATTTTGTAATTGATAATGTTGTGGTTATGTTTAGTCCACCTTCGTCATTAAAAGATCATCTTACACACTGTCACCATTCTAGTGATCATGAACTTTTGATATAACTTTAACGTCATAAAGGTAATGCACTTCACGATTTTAGGTCAAGTGATTCAACTGTCTAATGTTTTAACTTTTAAATGCATATCCATATGTTCCCCATAGGAAGTTGCAGAATGTGTGAAACGGGATTTTGGTACTATTGACATTCTTGTGCATTCCCTTGCTAATGGTCCAGAGGTATACTTATGGTTTAATTTCAGCATCATTTGTAGTGTTGTTTAGAATCTGATAATGATAATAATGCATCATTATTATAAAATTTCTGCACAGGTTACCAAACCACTACTTGAAACATCAAGATATGGATACCTTGCAGCGTTGTCTGCATCAAGTTATTCATACATTTCTTTACTGAAGCATTTTGTTCCCATTATAAATCCAGGTAGAATTTTTTCTCTCTAGTTTTTCCCATTAATATTTTTGCTGATATGTAAAATAGATCCATGCATTTATAGTTCAAACCTTCTGCAAAACTAAGGTTCTCCTTACCTTTTAGGCGGTGCTTCTATCTCTTTAACGTACATTGCTTCAGAAAGGATAATTCCTGGGTAAGCCCTTTTAAGAAGAAAAGTTATCCATTTTTTGTCTGCTGACTATTAGGTCATATCAACTTTTGGTACCTGCCATTAATTTCTCTATTGTGTTGCACAAATGTGGATCATTTAGGTCACTTATCAAGCAATCCTCATCTCAAAAATGATTGGGTAAATGTAAGAAAGGACCACAACTAGAAAAAAATGAATGTTTTAGAATGTTTTCTTTTTATAATACTCTCAGTTTTTTTAGTTCCAATAGTGCTTTATACTACCCCTTCTGTCTGGGCTGGGTCGGGTTTGGGTTCAGAACTGCTAGTTTTGAACGCGCACATTATTTCTCCTTTGAGTGAATCTCAAACACACAATGTTACCTTTTCTAAAACATAGTGAAAAAGCAACTATTAACTTTAATTTTTGTTATTAAACCACACCAAGAGGACCCCCGTTAATAATATTGCTCTCTGTAAACACTGCAGATATGGTGGTGGCATGAGCTCAGCAAAAGCTGCTTTAGAGAGTGACACCAGAGTTTGTTCTTTCTTAAGACTCGTCTCACTTTCTGCATGAATCTCAAATGTGATAATTGCTAACAATGGGGTTAACCGGGTTATTAACATCATAAAGGTATTGGCATTCGAGGCGGGAAGGAAGCACAAGGTCAGAGTCAACACAATTTCTGCAGGTATGGTCCAGTTATGCTTTCACCTGTCCGGATTAACTTTGTCTTATACTCCTTAGCTTCTCAACTAGTAACATTCATTTGCTCATAATATTGATCGAGAGATAAACGGGGATAGGTCCACTGAGAAGCCGTGCTGCTAAAGCTATTGGATTTATCGACATGATGATTGATTACTCTTCGCAGAATGCTCCCTTGCAAAAGGAGTTGTCCGCAGGTGAGCTTAAGCAAAGCCCCTCCATTACGCTCTGTCTGCATTTTCTCTTCATTTTTTAAAAAAAGTACAATAGTTTTTTAAACCATTGAGCCGAGGCACTTTAAACTCTGTGATCATTTTTGTATAGCCCAAACGATCCTCTTTTTTTAACTCCCTTAAGAGCATCTCCAATGGGAGGCGGTAGAAATGAATTGATATTTGTCAAAATAGCTATTGAATACTCTGTATTATTTTACGTACCAAGATTTTTTTATTTGCTCCAATCATAAGTGTTAAACTTGGCCAAACCAAGCATTTTGGGTGTTTTGCCAATTGGTATTTTGCCAAGTGTAGTTGGTAAGTATGGCAACTCCAATAGGTATTTTACCAAATATGGCATTTTTTACCTAATCCATTGGAGCTCAAAAAAATAAAAAGAGATTGGTATATGTGAATAGTAATTGCTATCTTACCTATTTAAAAACTCCATTGGAGTTGCTCTAAATCCCCCCCCCCCCCCA